TTTTTAAATATTCTATTGTTTATATTAAATACACATCTCGACGGAACGATTTAATGAACATAGATGTCGTTGATCTAAATTCTTCGAAGTAGAGGTTGCTACAGGTTCACGGGCGGACGAAACTCAATTTTCACTTGCGAAAGAATAATAATTAACAGGATTAAATTTGTAAAATTGTGTCTGCTTCCATAGTTGTATCTGTTAAAGTTGAACGTTTAACGCTTTCCCAGCGACTACGGAAGCGTTCTAACGTTATCGCAAGTATTCATTGAGATTGTTCGTTGTATGAAAATATGAAAATTATTGTATGAAATACACTTCCTTATAATGTTATTTAACGCTGTCAATTGCGAGTTATTGTTAATAATTTGAATCTGATACGGTATAAAAGTAAGTCAAATTGATTAGTTATCTGTGAAACAGACATTTCAACAAATACTTTCTCGTTCTCAACTTCTTTTTTTTTATCATTTTATTTTTTCTTCCTATCGTGAAGTTCATCGAACATTCTTTTTTAGATTTGTACGCGATATGATATATGTAAAATGTATATTCCATTTCCGATAATGTACGCCTATATCTATGTATGCACATGTACTTATACATATACAAGGAAGAGAAAACTCATAAATTAAAGCAAAGATCGAATTCCGATTTTGATATTTTATTGGAATTTATGTTAACAGTATAAGAAACAACTGCTTTTTGATAAAACTTCTCAATAAGATTAGATATTATACTTTTATCAATTATGTATCTTACCGTTATTACAAGAAACATTGTATTAAATGCATAGTTTTCGCTTTTATGCATGAAGATGAGTGAAGAAGAATATTTGTACATACAGATAACTTGCAAACTTTGTAATTCAACTGACTGTTTCAGAGCACTATTCGCCACGTTGAATATTGAATTCTTCAGTGTGGCAATAGTACGTATATAATTTGTTTATAGTTTCGATTTGCAGGTATTCCAAGAACGACAGAGAGCCATCGTTGTTTATTATCGATAGACTAACGTTAACCTTAGAATTTGGCCATTCATAACAGTCTATTTCTATTAATATAGAATACGCTACGCACTTCACAATTACATAAGTCCGATTCCATGAGTACGATTTTATCTAATTTATGTTTCTTCGTCCCACGATATTCACTGGTTTTCAAATGCATTCCATTTTCATTGCAATAATGGGATATCTAGAATCTAAAAATACCGGTATTGTGTAATATCGATTATGATCTCTAGATGAATGGCCGATAATAGATAAATAGAGTAGAATAAATAAATAAAAGGAAGCATCAAAATAGATAAATGATAAATGGCCGATAATAGATAAATAGAGTAGAATAAATAAATAGAAGGAAGCATCAAAGTTCAATGTAAAGTGTAAAATTACCAAAACTTTTGTCTTTTATGTTTCATTATGGTCGGATAAAAATAGCATTGAACGATCGTATCAAAACGTGACTTACATTTGCAAGAATGAATATTGTCACGATACGTATCTACATATTTCTGTCACTCGAAAATTAATCATAAACATTTATCTGCTTATATATAATTTAGGTATATCCTGTATATGATTTGAATACATACTAGCCAGTAGCAAAATTGACATTGATATTTTTCTTATCGACAATGTTCTTCTACTGTAATTTCCTGTAAGAAAAAATCCTGTATTACTGTAACGAAAAAATCTGTATAATCTGTAAAATATTTGGCTGTACAGCGCCGTTTTGGGCAAGTTTATTTCATTATCAGCCTTCGTTAGCCAATGCAGATAATTCCGTTTCTTGTCACTTGTTCTGCTCGTAAATTAACAATAACCCAGTAAACATACACTGTTTACCACATCATTGGTCTATCATTGGAAAATTCCGAAACTGGCTGAAAGAAATTTTAACAAATCTCCGTGCCGGAGATTGTATCTACATATATCCACTTGCAACTTTGATACTGAGCTTGTACTCGAAGCGTTGAATGGAAATTTTTCAATAAAAGAATGCACCAGATAACGAGTAACGTAATATAACATGTAGGTGGAAAGAAGATGAGCGATAGAAATCCAGATTTGATTGGTCGGTGTTTTAGTTAAATTCGATACATTTTTAAATACAAAGACAGCTATTGGCCGAAAATTCGTGCAGCACGGTGTGTCGGTGAGTGGTGACAGGCGACTACTCACCTTGCCCCTCTGACGGCCTGCAACTCTTTTACCACAGCTCCGAACAGGATATTTATGTGTTTTCGTATATGTGTGTTTTACGTGTATTCGTATAATTTTGTACATTCACATAATAAAATAACGTGTCAGCGAGTTATCGCTTGCTGGATTGACCGTTGTGGGATCAAAGTACGTGCTAGATCCGTCAGTTTCCATCCAGTATGAGTTTGTTTGAGATATATAAGAAAGTAAGAAGAATTGTTCTCGCATTGTTAAAAGTGCTACGTTGAACAACGTATCCAAATTAATTTTTAATTGACATCACTGTAAAATAAAATAGCTATTTTTCGCGCAGTGAATTGCGTCTTTCGCAGAGTGATCGAATGAATCAATAATTGGTAAGATTATCATCTAACATTTATATCAAGTGGTATAAATATGTGGAAATATGTGGAAATAAATCAAAGGAATCAATCTTTCATATTAAAAAGTTCTACAAGGAATCTTTACTTGAACACGGTTAATTTCATTCTCGGTATGATGAAATTCTGATAGAAATTGTGATAAATATGTTAGTAAGTAATCTTTTAACGAGATAAATATTTAGAAATATTTCCGATAATTGATGCTTGTAATATACGTGATGTAAATATAATTTATAATATATATATACCAAGTAGGTATTTTGAAAATCGGACGATTCACGCTAATGTAGCGTGCGCATAATACGTATACACTTGTATATACTCGTACTATTGCAAGATAACATTTTTAACATTTTCATAATCAGACGGGGAATTCAATTTCACACTTGTATATACTCGTACTATTGCAAGATAACATTTTTAACATTTTCATAATCAGACGGGGAATTCAATTTCGTTTGCATCAGAAAGTTCAATAACTTATCTTGTTTAGGCATGACTTTACAAACTACTTTTCAACAACCAAGATAAAATATTTTTCGCGATAATCTGAAAACAAATTTGCGATGCGATGGATGTGTATATTATTATTCATTTATAGTAAACATAGAGAAATGAAACGCGTTCGATCATTGAGAAAATCGGGATATTTTAATCATGCGTTAAAATCAATGTATAAAAATGAAGAAATCTTGTTTCTTTTGTCTGAATGATTTTGTCTATTTTTAATAGCAGAATTGCAAACCACGAAACCACGATAGCAATTTCAAAAATTTCATTCGTTTTCAATCACTATCGAAACCTCGAGGTACGAATATGTACCTTTTTTTTATGTATGTATATACATATATAGCTGAAATGTATGTATATAGTAGAATGAAGAAAAGGATCCCAGGCTTTGATACTGTTTTCAATTTTTTTTAATCTGTCTATACGTAAAAATTTGATCGATTTAGTTTTGAAATGCAAGTTCTTCGATAAAAAAAAAAAAAAAATGACATTATTGACGTATTTTATAATTTGCGTCATTTGTACAATCTTTCTCGGAAAGATTTTCTCAATCGTTTATCTACATTTTTACATTCCGGTAATATTTAAATATTGCCGGAGCGCGATAAAATTCGTTACGTCGTTATTTTCTTCAAACGGAACCATTAAAAGCTTTATTTTTCAGTTTGTTCGCTCTGTAACTCTAACTTTGATAGTCGAACGTTTCGCTAACAACATTTCGCTTCACGGTCGTGATATTTTCAGAATGCAAAGTTTAAGTAGAGCTTAAACAACCTTCGAAGCACGATTAAGCGAGATAATTGAGATAATTAGAGTGGGTACTCGTCGATGATTGAATTACTCATTATCTTGTGTAATTGTGTTGCTGAACAGTAATTGTCTTACGCGCAGGTGAACCAAGAGACTAATACAGAGGGAAATACAGGACTATGACGCAGAAATCGGAGAGCTCGATACCTGGTTTCGAGAACTTTCCTGGAAGGGAAGTGAAATTCAAAACGCCGTACAGTTTCTTTGAGGCGCGAAGGAAAATAGACGGTGCGGAGGGTTTGTGGAGGATTCGGAACAATTTGTACGACTTGGAAGGTTTCGCAAAATTTCACCCAGGAGGAGAGGAATGGATTCATCTTACCAAGGGTACCGATATTACCGAAATTTTCGAGGTAATTTGCCTTTGTTTACCTCTTGTAATATATATATATATATATATATATACTCCTGCGGGTATCAATTGCTATTGCAATTTGCCTGAATGTAACCGAAGCTAAATATCGTTGTATCGTAAGCTAAATATGCTAAATATGTTGTATTTCTTTCAGTCGTATCATTTGACCGACAAGGCTGCGAAACTTCTTCCAAAATACTTCGTAAGAGAGGCAGTTTCGCCGCGAAAGCTGCCATTAACGTTTGAACCGAACGGTTTCTTTTCTACGTTTCAAAGACGCGCTTTGGAAGCACTGAAGCACGTGGATTTCCATCGGCCGTCGAAGAAATCGAATTTAATCGCTGATCTTCTCGTCACTGCTACCGTTTCGTTCAGTCTCGCAGCAGCTTACACGCAGTCTCACTTAATCATCGTGCTTGCTGGTTAGTTGAACATGGATACGTACATGTCCCTTTTTGTTTCTCGAACCTTGAGCGTTTTCGGTTTCTCCTTTCCTTTGTGAATTTATCTATGGAACAACATCCAGTCAGACCGTTTGGATATTTCAGGACTCTTCCTCACCTGGACCACGATAATCGGTCACAATTACTTTCACATGAGGGACACTTTTCGAATGTATTACTTCGACTTGAGTTTAATGTCGTCGAAGGATTGGCGAATAAGTCACGCACTGAGTCATCACATTTACCCCAATACTCTTTGGGACTATGAGATTTACTCGCTCGAGCCTTTTCTCCTTTGGCTACCGGATCCTAAGAAATCGTGGTTGTTGGGCGTCGTTAGCCAATTGGCAAGTCCACTGATTTGGGCCCTGGGATTTTACGAGCAAGCGATCAAAAGGTAGGTCATTGCTATTGTCAATTCGTTTCGTTTGGATGTCGTTCGAAACGCCTAGTATTAGTATTATTATATAACAAGTAGTAATTACAAACATGAAATATGCGTATGTAAAAATATTTCTTTCAGATACTACTCGGTGTTTTTCGAATATAAAAAATTCGAATTTCGAGACTTTGTACCGTTTCTTTTACCTATATCCATGTCCCTTTTCGCACCGAGTATCTTAGTGGCTGTGAAACTGTGGCTGTTGATTATACTAACAGGCAGCTTTTTATTCTTCATGGTCGGTGTCAACGCAGCTCATCATCATCCCGATATCTTTCACGATGGCGACATATACAGGTTTGGGTTTCCGTCTTACACTTGTACGAATATACGTACGAATATACACACGCGCTAGCCTATCGTAACGTAACGTACATCGTTACATATTACATACGCACATTTGTACGTTCATCTTTCGTTCAGATTCGTTCAGCGTATTATTAAGATTTAAGTAAACGGGTGTCTTGTTTCTAATTGCAACAGACGTGAAATTACAGTGATTGATGAGAGGAACGAAATAATGTTTTGCAGAGATGACTACGACTGGGGTGTACTAGAGTTGGATGCCGTGAGAGAACGGCCGGTGATCGATGACTCTGACTTTCTGGTATTGACCAATTTCGGATTGCACGGTCTTCATCATCTTCTACCAACGGTGGATCACTGTTACTTGCATCTGTGCGAGAAAGCTTTCAAGGAAACTTGCAAGGAATTTGGAATCAGTACTGAAAAGTTTAGCCAGTGGGAGCTCGTGAAGGGACAGTTTAAACAGATTCTACGTAAAGAGCAGAAGAGAAATCTTAGATAGACGAATAGAGTGACAGACTCTTTATACTTACACAAAAATAAAAAGCAGTTACGCTCTGCGAACCAACGAGTTGAAGAAACGGTTGTGTTGTAAAAATTGTATGTGCAGGATCAACGACGAGATATATAAAAAGTAACAAACAATTGTGGTTGGTTCTTAATTTTATTTATTGCTTATTTATTTTAATAAATACATACTTCGGCTCTCTTTATAAATTACAATTAAGTTTTATAGTATAGGATTATCATTTCGTTGACACATGTATATAATAATGCGCGCTGCCGTTCAAATCTGTGAAATCTATCTTTCGTTTTCGTTTGTTCTCTCAAGTTTCTCTCAAGCAACGTGTGAATTTCTGCTGTTTTTTTTTTTTTTTCCTTTTTGTTTTTGCCTCTTCTCGTCGCGTTCCGTTTCTGTAGTTTTTGTGTTGTGTATTCGTGTTGTATTCGTATCGATTCGTCCGCTTGAATACGCGCGTATGCCAGTGTGTTTGCACGTTGCTTTTCTTTTCTGCCACAGTGTTGTCGTAACCGTAGGACGTTTGTTTGAAATTTCTCGAGTTGGCTCGCTGGCTCTCGTCTATTATTCGTTTCGACCGCTCGCACCCACTTCCTTTCTCTCGTATTCTCTCTTATACTCTCCCACTCTCACTCTTTCACAATCACTTTCCTCGACCGTCAGCGCGAGTGGTGAAGACTACACATCGTTCTCCCCCGCATCTATTCTTTACACGTATATCGCCGATTTACCAATCAATAGCGGAATATATATTATAGAATTATAGAGCTAGATCCAGAACCAGAACCAGAACCAGGATCAGAATCAGAATCGAATCCAAAGCTGGAACCGGAGTCAGAACCAGAATCAAAACCAGAAACCTAGTGTAGCACAACGTTTGAAAGAAAAATTTCAAAATCTGCGTGTAATCTTTTTTTTGTATGGTTTTATTTGGAAACTAGTAAGGTGAGAGACCAAGACGCGGACATTCTCGTGTCAATGCGAAAGTAACAAAGATCGAATCTGGTTACTTTTGATAGGTTTTTTTTTTTTTTTTTTTTCTTTATTTTTTCTTTCCTTTTCAGCGTGAAGTTTATACGTTTACGCAGCTACGCGTAAGGGAGACCGAATGGGGATGAGTTATTCGAGTGAGATGACACGATGAAAGTTTGGCCGCTTGCGATCAATTCGTTGTTTGTTCGTTAAGCTGTTACGATCGTGTTTGCAACGAGTGTGTGTTAGTCGCGTAGATTTTGATTTTTACAGTTCACCATCGGGCTGCAGGTCGAAGCGTGGCGGGAATGCGGAACCATCCAATTGGGGTTTGAACGTAGGTCGGTGTGGCTGAAAAATTTCAAACATCTATTATTATTATTATTATTATTATTATTATTTTCGTCGTCTGGGATTCTCTGTCGTCGCTGTTTGGTCATGGATCACTGAATTTGTTCGAAAGTACATTTATGTTTCTTTGCTTATTGGTGGAATTTACTACTACTACTGCTGCTACGCCATTGCGTCAGGATACTTTCGAACAACGATTCGAATTTCGAGTTTCAGCAAGTTCAATGCACGTATTTTTCGTACAATTCGAAAGTAATTTCATCACAGTGGTAAATTTACAAATCGAGCGTACAGACCGTTGATTCCATTTCCAATCCCATCGTTAACCAGATTCTGGTATCTGGTTGTGTGCGTTAAGAGGAAGAAAAAAAAGGGGGGGGGGGGGGGGGGGAAGAAAAACAACGAACCAATTGTTTTCCTCGTTCGTTGCTTTGGGACACGAAAACGCGTTCGTTCATTGT